TGTAGCACTGTGGCGAAAATTGCAAATAGAAGGACAGTTGTAATACGATTAAAAATTGGGAGATTTCCAAAGTTATTCCGAAGACACACAAAGGTTTCTAACTGCTATTAAAGGTAATCTAAAATATCCGAAGATTGCAGAGATTCACCCAAGGGCTTACAAACCTTGCCAGATGCTTGAACAAATAGCTGCTTGAGTAAGATAATTCGTAAACTTTGGTAGAATTCTGACGATTTGCAAAGATTGCTGAAGGTCCTGAAGACCTCCGAAGATTACTAAAAAAAATTGATTAAGATCACCCAAGCCAATCTAGAATGAAACACGCATTTCTACCTTGCTCTCCTCTCTAATTCAGTAATCATAAGCTTCAAGTACCTATCTGCAGTATGCCCGTGGACTTGAGGGTCACCTCATAGTACCAACCAGAAGGATACGGGGGTACTGTACACATGCCACGCCCCACACATAACGTGGCATGCACGCTTTCAAATGTCCAGTTAGGGTTGGAAGCTTCCAGACGATCAGCACTCAACACAAGGGCTGGAGTCTTCGTCTGTTCGTCCAGCTCCACTACAAGATCTGAGTATTACAACAAGGAAACAGAAGGTGCAATGTCAGATGGGGGTTGTTAAACAGAGATAGGGGAAGTGGGCTGTCTTAGACCTGCGACTCTCAGACGTGTCTGCCACAGGAAGCGCTTGGGAGTTGTCTGCTTTAGGTTGTCTGCTTTAAAGAGGCTTCCCCAAAAGAGAAGAAGTCTGTGAAAGACAGCCATCTACTATAGACAGGTGCATGTCTTAGTTATAAAGGTGTCTTCATTATTAAGGTGTCTGTGATTCTTCAAGGTGTCTTCCTCAGAAGTGTTTTCCTATGAAAGGTGTCTGCCTGAGACAGACGTCTTTCATGGGGATGTGTCTGCCTTAATGAACTGTTGCCCTTACCAAGGTGTTTGTCTTAAAGTAGTGTCTGTTTAGAAAGGTCCCCAATGCATTGAGAGGTACCCACCTCACTAAGAGGTATCCAGGGCTGTCATTTAGTTTTGATTTACCTGTAGCCTTGATCTTCACACCCATAACAAAGTTATTACTTCGGGGGTAGAAAGTATCAACAACAAGCAATTTCATCCATAACATCAATGGCCTATGAAGCATACTAAGCCGTAGTAGGCAGAGGTTTCATTATCGTTTTCAGCATGAGAGCAACTGGTTTTCACAGGTGGGCAAAACTATTGGAACTGAACTCCTTTGTAAGAAAAACTTTCCGCTAGATGGTCAAACCAGCCGGGCAAAATTGTTCTCACAGCTGGCCAATTTGCCCAGTGCCTGGTCCTTACTGAAACCCCTGAGTAGTTGTTGCGGGTTACGGACCTTAATGAAAGCCCTGGCAATCCTTTATAGAGACTGAGGTATCCATCTCACAAAGGAAGGAGTACCTGAAGGATTACCATTACTAATCTATGTCACACACTTTACTTACCAGTATAATATTTCCCCAGCATGGTCATACAGCAGCATGTGTTCAACAGCATTTCAGTGGCAAGTGCAATTTGCTGAACTGTGGATGAATTTGCAGTGAGCAGCCGACACCACAAGATCTGCATCGCACCAGCCTTGAAAAAGTGCTCCCGAGATTCCTCTAGACTTGAAATCAAGTCGATACAGTTGTACAGCGTTACTACACTCAATCCACTCAGGTTAGAGAAAGCTTCATCTAAGTCATCATGAATTATCGCTTCTCCCGACACTGTTTCCGACTCTAGAATTGTCGTGTTGGACTTTTTCAGTAGAGTGCTTTTCAACTGAGTGCTTTTCAGTGGAGTAGGTTCGTCTGCGGTGCTGCCGCGAACAGGAGTCCTTAAACCACTTGCGGTTAGTTTGACTGTAAATGAGATAGAATTATCAGATCAGATATGAACTACCAGTTCACAAGGATTACCTTGGAAATAAGTTCTTTATGGGAAATATACTGTCTGACCACTTGGATAACACTTGGATAACAAATTAGAAAATAGCCCAAAGAAAATACATGCACTGATTGGTTTAAAATCATGTTCCTATAACTCGATAGTAACACAGAACTAGCACGAGCTGTTGACGTGATGATGGCGCGAGCAAAGAGAATTAATTATTTTACATCTGATTTTAATGATCAAAGTAAACAAGTTGTTTTCTCTTTTCGTCGTGGTATTTTCTGAAAGGAATAGAAAACATGTTCTCCATGTTTCTATCGAGTTACAGAAACACAAGTGAAAGTTTTGGAGAACTTGAAAAAGCTGTGGAAACACTCGCCTCTCGGCTCGTGTTCCCACAGCATTTCTCGTTCTACCAAACTTTCACTTGTGTTTCTATAACTCGACCGTATTTGAAGGCAATTTTCGCGATAAACAAAATAAATTACCGTCAAAATAAAGGAAACCTTATCAAGTTAGAAAGGAAGAAAGGTCGGACAGTTTATCTCCCAAAAAACCGTATTTCACAAGGTGGTACCAGTCAAGTTACTATTAGACATGATACCCAGTTCTCCCGCGGATAATGGGGAGGTTAAGCAGCGACAACGACGACGCCTTGTTAAAACTGAATTCGAATGTTTGCAAGCGTCTAAATCTGTTAAGTGCGCCAATGGCTCTAAAAACTTGTTCAATTATTAATATCGATGGCGGCGTTCAATTCCAAATGGAAAAACAAAAAAATTAGCCGTCGCCGTCCGCGTTCCGTAGACGATGCAGAACTTGGTGATTTCACGTTCTTGTTTTGCAGAGGACGGCAAAGAAATGTACAAAGATTTATCAAGCACGCGCACAGCCATTGTTCTGTTCATTAAACCGTTTGTTTGGTGACGTTCTCGTTGCCGTCGTGGTGGTGGTTTGTTGAAGTTGACTCAAAACAGTTTCCAGCACTTAGATTTTGATGGGTTATTATAATCACTCTTTATCACTTGATGCTACAATCATAGTATCAAAAAACTACCAATCATTGGTGAACACGTTGTTATCATTTTCGTGACACAATAGCTCACCATAGCAACAGTATGACCTCCTAAAAACACCCTTAATTACAGCTTTAGGGGCTTATAATTCAAAAACGACACGGTGAAATATTTTTTATATTATCAACTTTTGATGAGCATGATAAGACGCAACTTTTGGCAAAGTTTAAGGTAATTCCTCTGAAATAAAAGTGATAATAGATTTTTGTTCAAACTTTGTCCACTGAATATTTGTCATATGATAAATTCAATTTTGAAATAAAAAAG